CACTATTTATTCTCTCGGGGTCCTAGAGTTAACTGAGAGGGGTATGTGTGAGTGAGTATGTGTGTGTGTGTGTATGTGTGTGTGTGTGTGTGTGTGTGTGTGTGTGTACCATGTGCATTGCCCATGCAGCTTTCTACTGTAGCTCCTGAGCTGCAACAGACACCATGACAACATTCACTTTTATGTTTTAAAATAAAATTTTATTGGTATCTTTTGTTTTTACATTGCCTAATTTTTTCCCAGTATTCTTTCCTTTTCCCCTTCCTAGAGAGCTGTCCTACACAACAAAGAATAATTTTGAAGATATAAAACAAAAAAGAAGAAAAAGAGGGAGAAATCAGCAAAACTGATCAATACATCAAAAAAGTCCAAAAATATACACAATATTTCAAATCCATGGATCTCCCATCTTTGCAAAGGAGCAAGGGAAGGACACCATTTACTCTTAAACATAAAAGATTACTAAGTGATGAAGTAAAAGCAATAATAACCTTAATCTTTGATCAATAGAAGACAAAAGCAGTAGTGAACATTTACTGAATTAGAAACTAGAGCAGGAGCAATTTAAAAAGTCCACACGTACAGTTGGGTCACATTCTCCCACCAAAGCACACAGCATCAATAGAGGAGAATGGGCAACACATAGAAATCTAGCAAGGAGGCAAATGAATAAGGAAACCCATATGCTCAGGGCAAATCACACCTCAAGTTTACAGGCTTTGCCATCCTTAGTCCTTTCAGTACCAATCTCTACCATATGAAGCTGCTTCTCTGAGAGATGTTCCCTCTTCTCCTTCTGGGTAAAGCTGCGCCTCTTCTGCTCAAGCTGATGAAGCAACAACCATCTCTTTTAGCTCATATCCACCTTTGTCAGGGCTCTGAGAAAGTGTCACGCTATTATAGTGACAAGCAATTCCTTTAATTGGCAGGGGATTATACTTTGCCCAGTTATCGCCAAGCCTCTACTCACACACACACACACACAAAAGCACAGCTCACGGTAAAATGAAATGTGAAACTTTGACTTTCTCCTTTGTTTCTCCTTCTTGGACCAGAAGAGGGCAGTAGAGGGCAACACCATAGAAGGCAATCCTTAGCCTGTAGATGGCACTAAAGAGCAACAAGCTATTGGCTCTTCTCTCAACAGTAGCATCCAGCTCTGTTCCAATGAGCTTATTGCAGCTGGTCAAGCCTTTATCAAGCCAATCAGGAAAAAAAAAATCTCTCTTCCAAACAGCAAGTTCCCAGCAAGGGAGCTGGAGTCGGGTCTCTTAACTGGAAGCCTCCTGTCTTTCGTCCCCAGCTTTTTGTGATTCCTCAGCTGCTCAGCTTCTCTCTCTTTCTTGTAAAAATGTCTTCTCTGGCTTCTTAACAGCCTCTAACACCTCCAATCAAAGTCCTGCTGGCTGGGGAATCATCTTTACTTTATATAGTTAAAATGTAAGAAATCCATAATTCTGTTGGGTATGAACCCAGCGATCTTGTTATAATTGTCCCGTTGTTCCCAAATAGTTATTTAAATATAATTTTGTCAATTATAAACTTCAAAATGCTTTTTTTTAAAAAAATGAATAAGCCGATGGACCACAATGCTCTACAGCCATCACTACCTTGGTCATTACTCTGCCCTTCAAACATGCCATTCATGAGATGGGGGGAGAGGGGGAGGCGATGAGGTTCTCTATCTGATCCATAGAACAGTCTGTCTTTCTCTTCCATATTTTATCTAAAAGACTTTATTTCTTTGCAAATTTATTTTTATCAGTGTTCCTTATACAATTATTCTTTCTTCACCCCTTCTCAGCAACCAAATTGTTCACACACAAAGGGGGTAATATGTTCTATGTCTATGGTCTCTCTTTCTATATAATGTGGACAGCTAGGTGGCATGGTGGATAGGGCACCAGGCTGCAGTCAGGAAGACCTGAGTTCAAATTGAAGCCTCTGACACTTATTAGCTGTGTGACTCTGGCCAAGTCACTTAACCCTGTTTTGCCTCAGTTTCCTCATCTATAAAATAAGTGGAGAAGGAAATGTCAAACCCCTCTAGTATCTTTGCCAAGAAAATCCCAAATAGGGTTATGAAGAGTCAGACATGACTGAACAACGACAACTATATAGTGTAAGCTCTTTGAGGTCATGGACTGTTCTTTGCTTTTTCTTTATATCTGCATGGTTTGGTACAACGCCTGGCACATAGTAAATAAATATTGTCGATTGATTAATTGGTAACTGACTTTTATATGAGGTGTCCCAGAAGCCTTGGTACAGTTTTAAGCTTTAATATATAGTACTCAGAATCTTATAGAAGTGAGTATTGAAAACTAAAAACAAATAAATAAAATTGTAAATATTAAAAAAAAAAGCTTTAATATAGGCCTATAGTTGAAATTGGCTTATATTTGAAATTGCATTGACTTTTAGGACGCCATGTATACTCCTTTAAAGTTTGCAAAATACAAACATTTGGGCCTCCCAACATCCCAGCGTGGTAGGTATCATAGCTACTCTTATCCTCACTTTTTAAATTGAACCTCAGACAAGTTAAGTGACTTGTCTATGATTACACAGCTAGCAAGTGGCAGAGAAGAGATTAAAACCCAGGTCTTCCTATTTTCCAAATCGATCACTTTAGTCACTATATCTGTTAGCTCATCTTTTGGAGGGACAGCACCTTGTGTCAGAGAATCTGGTCAATTCTTTCTCCTGCAGACAGAGTGGCCCCAGGCACTACTACTCTGGATTTCCATGGCTGCCTATTTTAGAATGTGGGTTGACCCCTGCTCCCCAGCCATAAGTCTCAGTCATCCCAGCGGACCCCAGTGACTTTGGGGACACATGGGTTCAGAGGTCTCAGCTTTTAGAACCAGTTCAATGTCAGTAGCTTTAATTAAGCAATCAAAGTTTCAGCAGAGTCTTGAAGGTTTTTCTCTTCAGATCAAATGTTACCCTATCAACCCAGACAGGCCGAGAGATAAAATAGAGTCTGTCGTTCAAATCAAGGCAATTTGACCACCTGAGGTCTCGATACATAATAAGGCAGGGGAAGAAAACTAAGTCGCATCGTTTACATGCTTAGGCAGGCCCTGCAGGCCCTGGCCTAGTTTACAAGAACCAGCTTCTCTGTTTATAAGATGTATCTGAGTTAGTGTATTCTGAGGGTGGACTGCTCCCTTTGTCTGTGGTCTGACTGATAGGACCTTAAGTAGGGTCCAGGGAACAGCTGATGGCAGTGGCCTGCAGTATAATCCAACTACAGGTGCAATGAGGACTGGGAGTGAAATGGGGTGGCCCATTCTCAGAGAGTTTTGGCTCACATCCCCATGCTGACTGGGGAAGTCCGATGGGCCCCAGGAGAAGGACCCTATGGAGATAGGAATCTGAGAGGGGGCACTGTGCCAAGAGCCTTTGATGGATTATAAAATGAAGTATAGGGATGATAGTTACTATGGTGAGGAGACTTATCCCCTGGATCACTCTTCTTCCTGGGGCTGGGGGGATGGGGACAGGGGACCACTCTGCCCTAGTTATACCTCTGCTGACCATTAGGCCTTAAGTTATGATAACTGACTTGCTACCCTTTCTGGTCAGTATGTGTTCATTATAAACGTCCTCTCTAGTATATTTGCAGTAATACATTCAAAGCCATTTCATTTATCCTTTTCTTGCTTCTGGTTTCTTAGGGAATTAAAGTGCCTCCTGAAATCCTTCCAGCTCTGTCCTTGCCCCCTTGACCCTCAAGCAAAGCTTAAGTTGGGAGGGTCAAGGGGTGTCTAAATAGCTTAGACTGGATGGGCTGGGTTATTATCTTCTGTCCAAATGTATTTTGATACAGATAATGAAATCAGTGTGCTCTCTTAGGAGAGACACCAAAAATGCTAAAACTTAGTGACCCTTATAGACCTTGGAGTGGCCATTTCAAGTTTCATGACAAAATATTTTTGCATTTTTTTTCCTGCAAAGGCAGGAGGTGCCAAATTGAGATGCCACTCAAAATAAACTCTCCTTTTCCAGTGCAGAGCAGACTCCGCTGAATTTCAGTTCTCAAGTCAAAGCTATCCCTGGGGTACATCAATCCTTCAGCACTGGTGGAGCCTCCCTGGAGGTAGTCAGTGTGAGGAGAAGGTGGCTTCCCAGGTGGGGTTGAAAGAATCCCTGAGGCTCATATATGGATGGATCAACGCTTCATCTCCCTAGGCACCCCTGGCAGCACATCCCTCAGGCTGGCCTCTGAGGGCAAGGCTGCGCTGCTATTCCTTCTAACCTGATTCACCTGTAGAAATATGTTTGGGGGTGGAACTTAAATATGCACACACAGAGTCATTGGCCAGACATCCCCATCGGAACCAGCCCCATCTCCAGTCCTGCTCCTCCCTGTAACACACACACACACACACACACACACACACACACACACACACACACACACACATGAGTGGGACAGGAAACGAGGACAGCAGGCTTAACAAAGGGGTGGGCAAAAGTGAGGGGGGAGTCTGAGGAGAACCAATGCCGTGCAGAAACGGGAGGACGCAAAATCAGAAACCCTGGTGGAAATAAAGTGTTCACCCAGTACTGTATCCATTAAAGTAATAACATCATTGCGTGGCAGGTTTATCACTCCCTTGCAGCTCCTCAAATGTGGGAGCTGTGGCCCTCTTAGAAATGAGAACTGAGCTGCAATGCATTGTGGATGGTCAGGGCTCCCCTTTCTCCCCTTACCCCGCCCCTTGCAGTACCCCTCCCCAAACCCATTCTTGGACATCTCCCAGCCTCGAGAAGCATCCCTAAAATTCATTTCACTCTTTAATTAGATTTCACAGAGGCCAGAGTAGAGAGGGGATGGGTGGTGGAGGGAGCTGGTATGACCTCTTTCTGTTAAATGTGGTAATGCTCTTGACAGGGGAGGGTGGGACAATGGTTACTATGGTGACATATTCCCAGACATACAGACACACACATTTTAATGCTCTTTTTTTTTTTCCCCAGCAAGGGAAGGATCCAGTGCCCTATTTTTAGTGTCAAATTTCAGCAAAACAATTCACTTTCATTTCATCACATTTAGACTGCTGGGCTTGTAACTAGGTCACGTCTTCTAGGCATATCAAGGGCTCAGATCTGTCTTGCTTGAGTACCTCAAGGTAGCAAGGAGAATTTTTACTGACTGAGAGGAAGCTCTCCAACTTGCTTTGATACTGACTTCTTTCATCTCTGTTTGACAGGCAGAAAAGAAGGCAACTATGGAAAAGGAAATGAAAAGCTGGATAAGTTTACATTTTAAAAGCTACTTAATGCAAGACATCTAATTAAGGGCAGTGGTAAGTGCAGATATAAAAATTTGAAATGAGGAAGAGCCAGAATGGTGCCAAGCAAAGGCTCAGCAGGCAGACATCTCAATTCTGCTGGATGCTACCAGTGTGACCTTGGACAAGTCTCTTAGAGAGGGTCAGTTTTCTCCTTACCTGTAAAGGGAGGAGGTTGGGCTACAAATTCTCTAAGGTCCTTCTGAACTCCAAATCCTTTCTTCTATTATGTATTATCAGCTTGAGTGAATGGAATGCTGGACTGGGAATCAAGACCTGAATTCATAACTTACTAGCTGTGTGACCTTGGGGAAGTCCCTTATCCTCTCTCAGGCTCAGTTTCCTCATGTCCACTATCCAGCTGCATCTTTTTGATAAGCTACAGCTTCAGGAAAAAAAAAATATAGCCACAATTTCCATGTGGAAGATAGCATTAACTCACAGGATCATGGTAAAGATCGAATGAGATATTACATCAATGGACTTTTGCAAACCCTAATGTGCCATATAAACACATGTCAGACATTATTGTTACTTATTATTATACAAAACATTGACTCTCCATTGTAAAAAAAAAAAATCTTAGGCATTCAAGGCCTTATCCAATCTGGTTCCAGTCCAGGCAACTCGCCCAGTCATTCTCAGTCTCATCCTGTTCTCTCCTACCTTTCAACATTTCTACAGGTAGTCACCCTTACTTATAGAACCCTTCTTCCATATCTCTACCCACCATAGTTCACTTTTGTTATTTTATACACAACACCTAGCATATAGTAAATCCTTAATTGATTGATTGGATGATTACTTTAAGGGGCAACCCATGAGCCGCCTCTTTATTGAAGTCTCCCCTTTGGCCCCAGCTAGAAATAACCTTTCTCTCCTCTGATTTTCCTAGAGCATTTTGTTTGAAACTCTCCTTTGCCCCACAACATCCTACTTTGTACTTACTTATCCACACTCTCCCTTGTAGACTGTAAGCTCACTGAGGGCAAGGGTCTGCATTTGTTTAAACATGACATCAACAGCCCCTAACACAGTTCTTTGGACACTCCTGGAGTCAAATGAAAGTTTGTTTAATTAAATTGATGGTCATCACTGTATAGCACACATAGAAAAGATGAAAGAAATAATTCCTACCAAGTGGATTTCTAGGCTAAATTTCTGTATTTTTCCACCTATGTTGACAGTGAATGTCCAAGTGTGAGTACAGAATCTTAGGAGTTATGCCTCTTCCATGTGTAGTTGGCATGTATCCATAAGAGTTGAAGTGGGAGGGCAAATGTACAGGCAACACCAATAAGAAGTTTCCAAAGGGGTAACCATGGGGGACGCAATTGGTATGGTAGGCTGAGAAGAGTTAGGTTGTGGCCTGGGTTACACAATCATAACAGAAATGGACAATGAATCCAACCAATCCAGTCTCCACATGGACTTTGGAGCATGGAAAGGCATCTATAACTGGCTCCAGTCCACTAACCACAGGGTGAAGAGGAACCTCTTTGATTGGCTTTGGAGCTAGGACTGGGGTCCATGCAAAAGACACTGGTCAGCTTAAGCCTGTCCCTTTTGATCTGACTTCTTTCCTTGCAGTGCTATAAGGGGAGAAGCTTTGGGCCCTCATCATATGAAACTAACGTGTCCCATGAATACTGGTGATTATGGGCCTGGGTGCTTTTCCTCAGTATTTGTCCTTTCTTGTTTTAAGTGAAGGAAATTGGGGCTGACTAGGACTTTGTAAGTTTCCCACAGGTCGAGAAAGCAAGGTATCAAGAAGTCCAGGAACAGTCTACGTGAGGTTTTACAGCCTTCCCGTCAAGCAACGAAGCCTGAGCGTCTAAGAATGTCCAAACACTACTCTGTGGCTATGCCTAATCTGGACACGAACTTGGTGACACTAATGTTATGTGCAAACTCTGTGAAATCTGAGCCCACTCTCCCTGGGAACCGAGGTAACATGGGGGAAAATGTATCCCCCAGGGGGTAGGGGGAAGTGTGGGTATTTTTGTTCTTTCTGTATCTTCCCAGTAGACATCCTTTTGCAAAAGCTGATCTATGTTAATTGGCTAAATGAAACTGGGATGTGAACCACTGGCTAAGGGGGAAGACTATACTAGAATGGGGGTTTGGGCTGACAAAATTAGAGAAAGATACTCTCACCCCTTAGAGTTACCCTTAGAACATCGAGGGAAGGATGTGTCTAGCCTCTCTCTGGAAAAGTAATGCCGAAGAGTTATCACTACACAATAAACATGGTAACGGCTAGCACGAGCCAATAAGGGACTTTCCTCCTCACTCCCATCCCTGCCATCCCCCATGAACTAAGGGATTGGTGGGTCCAGGGTCTCCAGAGGAATAGATAAGAGCCATCTTACCTACTTCTCAGGCCATTATCCCTGTGACATGCCTCCACCTGGGACCACCAAGCATATCTTCACAAGGGAACAGGAAGACCATAGAAAGCTCTACTGACCTATATTTTAACTTGAGAAGTGTATCCTTCATAATTCAGTAAAACAATTGCTTGCTTAGACACCCATATTTCAGGTGTTTTATTGGCCCAGATGTGCTATTCACCTGAAATAACTAGCCACTAACCAGAAAGCCTTGGGGTGCCATCTGGGCATTGAGGCACCTATGCATAAGACACAGTGCCATTAGAGGCAAGTGCAGAATGGTGCAATGGGTAGAGCGCTGGGCCTGGAGTCAGGAAGACCCGAGTTCAAATTTGACCTCAGATACTTAATGAGCTGTATAACTTTGGGTAAGTCACTTAACCCCTATTTGCCAAAGGTTCCTGGGGGCAGCAAGGAGGCACAGTACACAGAACACCGGCCCTGGATTCAGAAGGACCTGAGTTCAAATCCGGTCTCAGACACATAATACTTACTAGCTGTGTGACCCTGGGCAAGTCACTTAACTACATTGCCTAGCCAAAAAAACCCCCAAAAAACAGAACAAAAAAACAAAAGCAAAGTTTCCTGAACTATAAAATGGGGATTATAATAGTGCCTACCTTGTGAGAGTCAAATGAGGTGACATTTGTAAACCACTCAGCATAGTACCTAGCTTATAATGGGTGCCGTATAAGTGCTTATTTTCTTTCCTTTCCTGTGTTGAGCGAGTGTGAGGGTGAGGCTGGGTACAGAACAGATGGCGCTCCAATCTGCCAGTACTGTACCAAGAGAAGGAGACACCAAAGGAAAGGAATTGCTAAACCTCATTGGAGCCATGCTGGTCAACCAGAGGGACTGAACCTGTAATTTTGCAATAGGGACATGATTCTACTTGCAATGCAGTGACTTCACTAATCGGTGTTGTGGGTTTTGAGGGAGGGAAACAGCTCACTGGGAGAGACTTCCCCAGTTACTTTGTAAAGAGCTTGGATACAAATCTATTTTGTCTTCCTTAAGTAAACCTGTTCTATAATTAGTGTCTTTGTTAACCCTAGTGCTTTCAGGGGGGTTGTGGTCATCCAAAAAACTCTGGTTTTGGAAGTTGCGCCCTCCTTGCCAACCTAGCCCTTTGAGGAAATGAAGCAAATGGTTTATATTCACAATGTTTTTCCCACTTTGGTGTGATCTCTCTCCCCTGCCAGGTCAGTTCCAACCATACCATGAATGAGGTGATGATTTTGGGATGGTGACTTTTGGAGCTATCTTTAGGGGCATTACAGGTAATGTAAAATCAGACTTAAAGTTGTACCTTAAAGGTCTGTGAACTGGTTTGAGAGACTATGCCCCTCAGAGCTATTTTCCCTTGCTCGTGTGATTTGTGTGCAAACGGAGAGCAAACCTTTGACTTTGGAATGGTTTTTGACACGAGCTGCCAGAACAGAGCAGAAGTTAGGGCCAACAGCTTTCAACATATACAGAACAGAAAGGAATAAATCCTTGCTTGAGCAGCAGGGAAATCCCACCCTTAGGAAACAACCAGGTTAAAGAAACAGAGAAGTTCATGCATGTGTCTGCTGCTCTGGCTGTTTTTGCCCAAACATTCTAATAGCTAAATTGTCTGAGATATTTACGTAAATTGCTATGAAGCCTCTGTTGTACCAATGTCAGATATTATTATTGTTTCTACTTTATGTTTTCCCCTCCCTTGCTTGAAGATCTATTTGCAGGGGATGGATCACCTACAGCTGTCAAGGAGAGAGAATACTGATGTAAGGCTGACTGCGTGACATCCATGCAGATTCTTTGCTTGTTATTCTGTTTTGATCTTGGGCCCGTACATTGGGCTGAGAGCTTCTATTTCAGAAGACCGAATTGGTGTTAGGAATTATTATCAGCATAACTGCCTCACCCTTACTCCCTCTTCACAACAGGGACCTGTCACCAGGCTGTTTTCTAGGTACCTTTGTCCAACATATTGGAGTCTGACATATTGGAACATAAGGGCTCTGTGCAACACTTCTGAATATCGAATCAGTCCCAGGTAAAAGACTCAGAAGAGTAATCTTAGAAGGTGATGATGGTTGTGCTGTGCGGATGACTCTTTCCTCAGCTCACCTCCCACAATGAAAGAGTTGGTCCAACCAGGTATACTGTCTGTTGAATATCTGTATTGGATAGTTTGAAGATAGGTTGTATGACTCAATGAAATTGTATCTGAAATGTAACATACAGTCCTAAGTCTAGAAGGAGTAGAAAGGCCCATGAGTGCAGAACACTACTGACCAAGGATGAGGTCCCTGGAGGTAGCGTTTAGTTGCTTTTCAGTCACTTCTGACTCTTTGTGGCCTCTTTTGGAGTTTTGGTGGCAAAGTTACTGGAGTGGTTTGCCATCTCCCTCTCCAGCTTATTTTACAGGTAAGGAAATTGAGGCAGATAGGGTTAAGTGACTTGCCCAGGGTCACACAGCTAGTTAGTGTCTGAGGCCAGATCTGAACTCAGGTCTTCCTTGACTCTAGGCCTGCACTCTATCTACTGCACCACTTAGCTGCCTTGAAGGAAAAATTAGTAAGTCAGTGGCCCCTTTGTATATATCCTTCTAATAGTACAGATACAAATACAAGGATGGATAGAGGGATACATGAAGTATAGTCCTACATATGTTCTATATAAATGTAACTGGATTTGATAATTTTCCAATTTAAGACATTTTCTATCCCTCTTCTGTGCCTCAGAACACAATTTAGACAGGTGGTTTATAGATTTAGACCCTCCAATCCAGAAGCAATGCTTGAATGGCGGGGACTTGTTACCTATCTATAGAAGTACTATAGGCAGCTTGGCATAGTGGATAGTGTACATGACCTAGAGTCAGAAAGACTTGACTTTAAAGCCTGGATCAGATACTTACTAGCTATGCGACCATTGGCAAGGCACTTATTGCTCTATGCCTCAGGTTTCTCATTTGCAAAGTGGGGACAGTAATAGCACAGTTGTGAGAATTAAATGAGATTATATATACATTTGTTTGTTGTTGTTCAGTCGTTTTTCAGTCATATCTGACTCTTTGTGACCCCGTTTGGGGTTTTCTCGGCTGAGATACAGGAGTGGTTTGCTGTTTCCTTCTGAAGCTCATTTTACAGATGAGGAAACTGAGGCAAAGAGGGTTAAGTGACTTGTCCAGGGTCACACAGCTAGAAAGTATCTGAGGCCAGATTTGAACTCTGGAAGATGAGTCTTCCTGACTAAATGTCACCCATTTTATTAAGTTTAACTTTTCCTGGGACAAGGGGAAGCCTCTGTATTCATTTATATACTCTTTCTTAACTTTGTCCTGTTGTCAGGAAAGGCCTACATCTCGAGTTATGTATGTCTTTCTTAACTTTGCCCTGTTTGTAAAAAGAGTCTGCCAATCCAGTTGTATACAATCTTCCCTAGCAACAAACATTTATTAAGCACGATCATGTGTTAGGCACTGTGCCAAGTACCAGGGATACAAATACAAAAAATAAATTATCGTAGTCCGAGAGGTAGAATGTGATGATTCCAAACCCCGTTTCTATGTTGTTGTTGTTTTTGTGGAAGTTGGCCATTCCTGTGACAGCCTTTCTCTGCCCAGACTCGACCTCTTCCCCCTCATCCACCCTCCCTGACTCTTCTCCACAGGCTGGATTTCTAGAAATATCCATGAGACTGTGTTTGTTGGCAACTTCCTGACAGAGATGTCGGAGGTGGAAAACCAACCAAATAGGTCTGAGAGAGATTTGGAGCCTCACTTTAAAGCACCTGGCCCTCTTCTACATTACAGGGAATCCAGGTGTTCCAACCCCAAAATGGGATGAGTAGCAAGAGTCTGGCATAACCTGAGTGAGGAGACCCTCTAACAGAACAGGGTCATTGATCCTAATCTTGTTTCTGTGGCCTGAAAATCATCATGTCCAGACATCTCCCTATGTTCCCTCAGCTCCCACTGGCTAAGCTGTTAATCAATCCTGCCCCTCAAGAAGGACCTGATTGTATCTTTTTCTCTCCAGTGACTGTGATCCAAGTGTATCTTTGCCCTGCTTTTTATGGATACCTCAAATTAAATGCCTTTTCCTTGTATCAATTTAAAAATGCCTAATAAAGGTCTATCTCTTTAAGCATCCTTGGCCAATTTACTGCTTCTGTGGAATTTTCTAAGTTCCCCAGAGGCAACTGTAATTGACTGGTGCCAAAACAGAATGTTCTTTGGGAGACACAAGTGATATTTTGATGTTTTGATGACCCTGGGTGGGGACATAAGCCATAGAACTTATGATTTGAGAGAAGCCCTCAGGATCTCATTAGGTTTATCTGTCTGAGGTCATCATATGACTCATGGATTATATATTACTGTAATTAGGAAACGATTTTGTGTAAGCTCCTTGCTGTAGCATCTTGGTCAAATTGCTCAGTCTCTCTGCCTAGGTTGCCCCATCGCCTGAAATGAGCCTCAAAGCATCCTTCAGTCAGGACTGGTCTTATGGTGTGAGGAAAGCACAGTCTATATTGTCTAAGAAGTGCTTTCATGTTGACCTTGCCACCCATGACTGTCCTTATCAGTGCTGGCCGCACATACCTTTTGTAGGCCCCCAGTTCAGACTAGCCCATCCTGCCTGCCCTCTGTAAGGTATACTTTTCGGCTTCCTTCTTTTTGGCCGCCTCCCCTATCCAGTTTCTCAGAGCTCTGCTCTCTGCTTTCCAAGGTAACAATTAGCAAATCTGTCCTCGTCCCGTTAGTCTCTTCCTTTCTTTTCCTCTCTACATTCTAGATGCTGATAGGCAGTCATTTCAACAATGTGCTCTCTTACACTCTTGAATCCTCTGGTTCCTTGTCCTTCTCCTGTTCATGACTTGCTAATTTCCAACCCTGGGTCACCTGTGCCATCTGCCTTCTCCTTTCTGTCTCATGAGCTGCCAAGAGCAGCTGTAAGAAGTCATGAAACCGTGCCGACTGGGTTCACTACCGATTCACACTGGCTAGGTTCAACTAAGCCCTTGCTGATTGTTCCATCATCATAGAATGCCAGAGCTAGAAGGGGCTTTAGAGATCATCTAGTCCTCCTTTTGCAGAAAAAGAAACTGAGGCCACAGTTTCAAGGTCACACAGCCCATAAGTGACAGAACCAGGATCCAAACCTCTTTCTCCTTAAGCCCTGAACCTCACTTCTACCACCTTGTTATAACAAATAACTAGCCCTCCTACTTTTCTGAGATGGAGACTGTCACTGTTCCCTTATCTCCCCAGTTCCGTACCTTGAAATCTTTCTATGCTAGAGGATGGGGGCATGTACCTGTAATTCCTGTTACCAGGGAAGCTGTGCTTCTGAGCTCAGGTGTTCTGAGCCACAGTGGGCTATGCCAATTGGGGGTCCACACCAAGTACTGCATCAGCATAGTAAGCCCCTGGGTAGGGGAGACACTGGGTTGCCAAGGTTGGGGCAAACAGTCCTAGATTGGAAACAGAGGAGGTCAAATTCCTGTGCCAATCAGAGGCAGGATTAAGCTTAAGATTTTAGTCACTGCATTTACAGCCTGGGAAAGATGGGGAGGAAAGAAAGAAAGAAAGAAAGAAAGAAAGAAAGAAAGAAAGAAAGAAAGAAAGAAAGAAAGAAAGAAAGAAAGAAAGAAGAAAGAAAGAAAGAAAGAAAGAAAGAAAGAAAGAAAGAAAGAAGGAAGGAAGGAAGGAAGGAAGGAAGGAAGGAAGGAAGAAAGAAAGAAAGAAAGAAAGGAGGAAGGAAAGGAAGGAAGGAAGGAAGGAAGGAAGAAAGAAAGACAGAAAGAAAGACAGACAGACAGAAAGGAAGGAAGGAAGGAAGGAAGGAAGGAAGGAAGGAAGGAAGAAGGAAGGAAAGAAAGGAGGGAAGGAAGGAAGAAAGAAAGAAAGAAAGAAAGAAAGAAAGAAAGAAAGAAAGAAAGAAAGAAAGAAAGAAGGAAGGAAAAGAAGAAAGAAGCTGAAAGAAGGAAAGGAAGGAAGGAAAGAAGCAAGGAAGAGAAAAAAAGAGAAAGAGAATGAGAAAGAAAAAGGGAAGGAAGGAAAAAAGGAAAAAAAGAAAATAAAAAGAAAGAGATGGAAGGAAAGATAGAGAAGGGAGAGAAGGAAGGAGAGGAAAAAGGAAGGAAAAAGAGAGAAAAATAGAAAGAAAAGAAAAGAAAGCATCTGTGTCTTCACCCATATTTTTCTTACCTCCATTCTCAGGATGAGGTAGGCTTTGTCCTTCCAAGCTTAACTCCTTCACTTGAACCCTAGTCCCCTTTTCCTGTCTTCTTATCTCCTCATGGACCCCATGTCATCAACCACTTACCCTCTCCTCCCCCTTCCCAAGCTTTAGCCTTTCCTGGGCTTCTTTGTCTCTACCTAGAAAAATGCTCAGGTCTCTCTCATGTTTAAAATAACAACAGTAATTCCACCTCAGACCTTATTATCTGTGTGACCTTAGGCTAGTCACTTAACTACTGTCTGCCTCAGTTTCCTCATCTATAAAACAGGAATAATAATTTCACATACCTCCCAGGGTTATTGTGAGCATAAAATGATATTTATAAAAAATGTTTTGCAAAACTTGAAGCCCTAGATGGATGCTAGCTATTATTATTAACACCTTTCCTTGAGATAATGTGTAGAGTGCCTTGTAAACCTTCCAGTACTATAGAAAATGTTATCTATTATTTGATAATAGGTAACTGTTCCCTTCTCAATTATCATCCCCTGAGTCTCATCTGCTTTAATGCTACACTTTTAGAAAGAACAGTTTATACTTATTGCCTCAATTTCATCACCATCCACTCAATTCCCAACTCTCCATATTCAGGCTTCTATCTCCACCACTCTGATAAAGTAATGCTTTCCTGGTTTACCAATCACCTTTTGATTGCCAAATTCAGCCGCGTTTTCTCAGCTCTCCATACCCCCTTGACCTCTCTTCAGTGAATAATACTACTGCTAGCCCTTTCTTTCTTGGTGCTATTTCTCACCTTTTAGCTCCTGGACACTACTAATTCTTGCTTCTCCATACCTATTTGGTCTCCTCCGAATAGACATATTCATCTTCCTTTCCTCAGGGCTCTGCAACATCTGATCAAGAAGTCCCAGGACTTTTGTCCTAGACATGGCAATGTGGGTAGGGGGCTGAATGTGGAACTAAAAAGAGCTAGGCTAGAATCTAGCCTCAGACAATTGCTAGCTCCATGACTCTGATCAATTACTTCAGCTCTGGGCTTCAGTTTCTTCATCTGTAAAGGAGGTTGAATGCAATGACCTCTTAAATCTCTTCTGCTTTTCAGCAGTGATCCAGTCAGCACTATACTGCCTGAGCCTTCATCTTCAGGCTACCACCCATGTCCCCTTCCAACCTTCCCTCTGGTCACAACAGAACTCATGGAAAATAATGATACTCCCCAGTGAGGATGGTCTTCCTCAAAACACTTCTTTACTACAATGGTGTGCTGGTAAATGTTTAACAATCTGCCCTCCTGGGGAAGGAAATGTACACAGGACATACTTTGAAGTTTAATCTGCATTAGTCATATTTTCTCCATCAGCTTTCTGAAGTCTAGACAATCATCAGAACAATAAATCAAGCCCTGATTTGTAGCTTTGACATTTTCCTAGGTGCAAACACACACCCTGAGAATTTAACAATCCGCCCTCCCAGTCTGACTCCAGCACACCTATGTGGTTTCACTCACTTTTACTTGGGTACTAGGCAGGCCTCCTGGCATGTGTTGTCTCTTAGCAAGATCATGACAGAGGGTTCCTCCCATAATTCTGCTTAGTTCTCAATCTAGCAGCACTGGTCTCACTCCCTATTGTGACTCATACTTGTATAGTGCCTTGAAGTTTACAGCTCCCAGCAAGTGACATCAACGTCCTTTTGCAAGAAAATAAATTCTTCTCTGGTATGGGTCCTATGCCAGCACCACCCAGGTACTACTCTAGAGTTCTTTGTCTTGGCAGGAAGTAGCTCCCCAGTGTCCTAGTTTATTGCAATGCCAAACAGGGGATCCCTGCTTACGAATTTGTAGCCAAAACTCTTTTCCTAAGAAGGTCCTATCAGGAACCCCCTGCTTCTCCCACCTCCAAGGGTAGTTTTGCTTCCACTGTGTTTTGGGGTGAGAAAGGAGAGGGGTGCAGATGGAATTCGTTGCTTGCTCCAGGGATGGTTGCTGCTTTCCTTGGAGCAAATATTGCTATTTACAACCCTGCTTTTCCTAAGGGACACCTGGGCAGAGTTATACAAATCATACTGGGCTGCTACCTTTGAATGACTCAACCAGGGTCACAGGATTCAGAGCCAGAAGGGTAGTTAGAGACTTTCTAGCCCCCTCATTTTACAGATGAAGAATATGACACCAAGCTGGGGGGAAGAGTTAACACACTAGATGATATCATCCTTGTCCCAAAATACCTAGACAGTCTAGAACAGTGAGCCCAGACTAGTGAGATGAAGGGTAAAGAGGTTGGTTGAGAGGAAACCACGTGCCATGTGCTGGGAGAGTGGAGGGGCTAAACAGTCCCCTCTACAGATGGAAATTTCAGGCCCATTTGAGGGCTAGTAGGGGAAACACTCAATGATAGACTTGACTTTGTGGCATCCCTCCCACAATTCCACTGATGGGAGGAGCTGACCCTGTATACAAGGACATCCAGCAGTCTACCATTTTTGCAAGCAGAGTTGAGGCCAGAGTAGAGGTTATTTTAAAAAGTTACAGAAAAGGAATCCTTTTGCCCTGAAACCTTAGACTCTCATAAGTCCATCCCAAGGACTGTAGGTTCAGAATATTTGAAAGAAAGGAGTCTGAACAGACCTGGAAGTTCCTGGGCAGGAATGGAAGGGAGGGGAGGGAGGGAGGAGTGTCTGTATCTTTAGGCTAAAGTTTTCTGGAAGATTCTTGGGCCAAACTAGGGCTACTCTTGGAGATTTTAAGTGGCTATACATGGGTCTGGGAAGAGAGTTCAGGGTTATTAGACCCTTCTAAAGATGAAAATTCTCAGAACCAAATTTGAAAGTATCTTTTTTTCTCCTATAGAATAGTAGCCAATCTCTAGTTTGACACTAATACATAACCACAAAGAAGATAGACTTGGATGAAGTTGGGGTTGGGGGAAGGAAGCCGATTTGCTGACCTTCATGGTAGCCTAATGTCCTAATTTCCTAATCACACACTATAGTGACTTGTTAGGACCACAGTATTTAGAGTTGGAAAGGAATTTAGAGATCTTGTAGTCTAACCCTCTCTCCTCTCATTTTACAGATGAAGAATATGATAACACAAAGTTGGAAGGGATGGTTGACACACTAGATCAATGGTGTTAAACTACTAGCCAGGACCAGCCTTCAAAACTCCCAAGTACCTCTCAAACAAGACTAAAATGTAATTTGGAAATATTTAACAAAATTAAAAAAAAAACCTGATACAGCATATATGTTAATTTGTAGTTTTCTAAGTCAATATGTAGCCATGGGGATCCCATTTGAGTTTGATGGAATTGCACCAGGTGATACAATCAGGATCCCAAAATATTTTGCAGGCTGGAATGTAAGGCTTAACCTAATAAAATTATATTAAATAGACATAGATATCTGTGTGTATATATAATACATACATACATACAAATATATATATATATATATATATATATATATACAATATATACAGATATATGTATATATAAATATAGAGAGACAATCTGATACAATGGATAGTCAGCCTCAGAATATCACCTCCATATTAGATCCCTGGCCCCTGGAGATAATAATAACTTGTTGGAACTCTTTCCTCAATTACTAGCATAATCCCACTTCATCATACCCTCCCAGTCCTAGTCATTCTGACACACCCTTTGTAATTACACAAACCCATTCCTTCCTTGTTCCTGTTCCCCAGCCCATCTTCCCAGTCCTTCCATGGTGCTTCTTGGAATGCTTGCTCTGTGGGTATCAAACTTGCTTTCATTTTAAACCATTTCCTTTCTACTTTCACTCACCAAGACCTGGCTCCCTTCTAATGACAGAGCTTCCCTGGACACTCTTTCTAGCACTGGTTGCAATTTCCTTCAAATCCCCAACTCACTGAGCGTGGTAGAGAAGCTAGAATACTCCTTGCTCCCCACACCACTTGCCCTCTTTCTACCATCACTACTCAATAATTCATCCTCCTCTGAGTTCATTAAATCCATATTTATCACCAAGTCAAGATTCTAGCAGCTATTATCTACTGATATCCAAGACACTCTCCTCCTTCCTCAATGAGTTTGGTATCTGGCTTACAGTCTTTCCTCCCCCACTCTTGACTCATACTAGGGAACTTCAACATATATATTGATAATCCCACAAACACTCTTCCAAGCTCTCAACTTATTTATTTCTCACAATCTACTCTTCCACCTCACCTCAGCTACTCACAGAAATGGTCATAACCTTGATCTTGGCATCACCCACATGTTCCTCGTTCATGATTATGAGTACTAAAATTCCTTTGTCTCATTATAATCTTTTATCATTCCACCTTTCCTGCTGATTTACAACAGATATTCTCAACAGGTGTGGCATCTCCACCATGATCTCCAATACTTTCATCCCTCAGTTCTTTTCCAGGTCATCACCCCTATATTGGCTCCATTTGCTGTTTCCACATCTTTGTATAGTCTGTTCCCAAGGTCTAGAATGCACTCCCTCTTCAGCTCAGTATTTCAGAATCCTAAGTTTTCTTTAAAGGTCACTCCAAATGATACTTCTTACATAAAGCCTTTCCTCATTCCCTCACCAAAACTATCTTATATGATTTTGCAAATTTTATATATATACAAATTATATCTATCTATCTATCTATCGGGTAAAGATTGTTTCGTTTTTGTCTTTGTGTGCTTAGTATCTAGAACATATTAAACTGTTCATATGTTCATCAATTGGTTGATTGTCGTTTTGAAATCCAAGTTGGCCAATGAGTTACTTGTAGAGCCACATAATACCTTTAGATGCTTCCCTCTTTTATTCCTCCATGGAAGTTCATGCTTATATCATAAGAATTTATTTCTCAAGAACTTCCCATCCTTCTTGGGCCCACCATAATATTACGCTAGAGGATCTTGTTCATATTTTCCCTGAATTCTGAAATCTATTCTTCTAAAGTCTAGGCCATACTTCAGACTGCACATTTTCCCATTTTTTATTGGTCACAAACTCTAAGGTAATGTGATCACTTCCTTCAAAGATCTATCATCTCTACTGAATAGAATCAGATCTAAAATAGTAGTTCCCCCTCATTGCTTCTTCTACCTTTTGAAAAATGAAATGATCACTAAAGCTATTAAAAATTGATCAGCAACTATACTATTAGCAGAAATAGAAATCCAGCACATGTCTGAAGAGTTGAAGCCCTCCATCACAACTATGTAATGCCACCATAACAGGTTTGTGATGTTTCCCAAAGTTATCATACATATCTTCCTTTTGTCACTACTTCTTAGTGATTCCCAAAAGATCAAATTTACCTCTTTGAGTTAACGTATCTGGTTTGGTTTGGTTTTGGACCAGACCTGTTACTTCATTGATTTAGGGTACTCTCAGCAAAGAAATTCTATCATTGTAGATTGTGACCTGCTCTGTAACTTGTCTGAGGCACTCAAAGGTTCAATGACTTGCCCAAGTTCACACAGTCTCTATCTGTCCAAAGTGGAACTTGGACTCAGGCAGGTCATTTCCCTATAGGTTACACCATGCTGCCACCTCCTTATTGATTCTCATCTGTATATTTGCACACTGACATCTGAGGCCATGAGTTCCATTGCTTTCCCTCTTCTGCACTGTCATCTCCTGAGAATTACTGGTTCTCTCCACTGTGCTACTCTGTCATATCTGACTTGATGGATGCTGCCTTTCAGTCATTTCAGTTATGTCTGACTCTTCATGACCTCATTTTGGGTTTTCTTGGCAAAGATATTGGAGTGGTTTACCATTTCCTCCTCCGGCTCATCTTACAGATGAGGAACTGAGGCAAACAAGGTTAAGTGACTTGCCTAGGGTCGTATAGCTAGTAAGTGTCTGTGGCCAGATTTGAGTTTAGGAAAATGAGTCTTCTTGACTCCAGGCCCAGCACTCTATCCACTGCGCCTTCTGTTTTTGTTCTCGAAGAGGACCATGACATCAGAGAGAGGATGACATGACTTGCAATTGACTTTGATTTGAGTGAGGAAGGGCTGTGCAAGGTCACCAGCCTCACTTTCTCCTCCAGAGCCGGCTGGGTCCAGTGGCCAGATATTCATCAGTATGACTGGAGATGCCCCAGGATGCAATGGGAGATCCCGGCCCTTTTAAGCTAAAGTCTTTTCAGGTTCTTACTTTGAGTGAGGTAATGCCCATTCAGTGAATAGGCCTCCTTAAGAAGTGAGTCAAGGGATGGCTCCTTTAATAAAAAAAAAAAATCAAACTGGGAGGGTTGCTGGCCAAAAGAGAAACAGTTACTATCTGCGTTTGTCCTTCTCTCAGGGAGATGATGGCATGACTTGCAACTGACTTTGATCTAGCTAGGTGGACACCACCCTTCTCTCTTCTCCACTTCCAGTTTTAAGCTATTTTGATGATATTTGAAACATCTCCAGGCTTAAGTAACAACAAGAAGAAGACAGAGAAGAATGTTTGCAATACATTTTAAATTTTCATCAAAAATAACTAAAATAATTGTTTTGGTGTCTGAGGGGGGTAAACTTCAGTTTTGCCAAAAACTCATTTTTGTGAAGCAACTCATTCCTTAATTATGCCAGATGGTAATCTGATCCAAATCTATTTTCACTCTTTAATGTATCCCCATGGAGTTCTCTTTTTTTGTGTGTAGAAATAAATCTTCATGTCTTATTGATTTGCTGTAGTTTCCAGTTTATTCTCTCAATCAACAATGATCACCTAATCACTTGCAGAGCCTATTGATCTAATTATTTTGTTATCGATGAACAGAACGTCATCAGGTCCTTTCAGTCTCAATTCAGGCAGGATGATAATAATGCTTGTTTATAAAACTGCTTTGAAATCACCAGGGAGAAAGTGCTACATCAATACAAAGTGCCCATTTATTACTCCCTCGAGAGCCTGCCTTGGCTCAAATGTGAACTCAGGGCATGCATTTTTAAAGATTCCACCAGGCCTTTTTCCAGTTCTAAATGATATGCAGAGTTAGGTACAATTTTGGCTGCTATTTCTGTCAGCGTGTGGCTGGAGGGGAAGTAAGCTGAGAGTGGGGTACACTGAGGGTGATCAAAGAGGGCAGGGAGGGAAAGGAGCTGTCATCAAAGGGTTCTTAATTTCCCCAGAGGCTGCCAGGCTGCCACAAAACCTAGAAATGGCTTTGAGTATGCAGGGAATACTCACCGCTGTCATTGCTGGGAACCTTCACGGTTAGGCAGATTGCTGCAGTAGGCAGCTGTCCCTGTAATAATGTACTCCAGAGTTATGCCTTTATTGATTAGATGTGCCTAATTGGCAAAAAAAAAAAATTAGAACTAGTATTTCTTTTAAAAAAAGGTTGTTTAAATTTTTTTTTGTTTTTAAGATTGTTTCTAGAACTGAACTTGTTATTGGTAACTACTTAGAAAGAATTAAGGTAGAATCCTGGTCTCACCCATCCAGGCCCCTAGGGGATGCCAGATCCTAGCCCAGCAAAAACCTAAATGTAAGAGATTTAAGTAGCAATAGACTGATATTCAGAATGCAGTAAGTTAGTCATTTTGCTTAATTCACTTAATTTTCCTTTACTACAAATAAGGGAACTAGGTAGCCTCTAAGCTGGTCCCTTCCAGTTCTAGAGCTCTGATCCTGTTTCTCTCCAGGTAATAATAGCTCCATAGTATAATGTGGTATATCCATTGGATCATAGTGTCACCTGGTATCCCTTCCACAAGTAGGCCTCTCAAAAAGCTATCCTAGATTCAAAGTATTCAGCATTCACTCGAAAATAATAGTTCATAAACCAACTAGAGCACATGGTTCAAAGCAAAATATATGTTAAACGGCATAGTGAACAAAGTGACAATAAATGATGTTCCCATGAGCACTTGGATTATACCTTCCCACTATATTTCTCATGGGAGAGTGCACACACAGAGAACATATGTGTCTGTGGAATTTAAATGGAAGGTATCCATATGCATCCAGGGAACTTGAGAGGAAAGAGATGGAAATGCTCTGTGCCTTTGTGTCCAGGATGCACATATGGAGAGCACACATCTAGGGAAATGTACAGCTAAGGCAACTGACACCTCCACCATTGCTAAACTGCCAATGTCCTCTAATGCTATCTGCTGGGTGTCCCAAGAAATCCCTCTCCATCACGTATTTTTTTGTTGGGAAGCCACAGAGGTCTCTTAGTTTCTGAGCTCCTCTTGGCTACCATTTGTGGGGCTTCAACATATTTATCCTTAGCAG